GTCAACCAGAATAGGCGTCATAATGAATCCCACTATGTTCACAGCTGTTGCCTAAACTTTCGAACCTGGTACTATCAAGCAAAACAGAATAGAGGAACATCAGTCAAAACAAGATGGTGAGAGCAATACAGGGCTTTAAATCAAGATAATGGAAAGTCAAAGTGGGTTACTATAATATATCCTGCTATTTTTTAAATTTATTTTTCTCTTAATTAAAAGGATAAAAATAAAAAAGTAAATAATAAAATGGAGATTGAGATAAAAGAGGGCATAACAGCAAAACAGCGCAGATCAAAACATAACCATTTAAGCAAAATAGTGTTTCACCACAAGATAATCCCAACAGTAGTTACCATATTGTCTCTTTCCTTGAAATCTTTGAGTATAACTTCGTATACTGTAGCATCAAATATATCAAAACAATGTAAAACCATTTAAGAGAATGACAGTATTACAGGGTATTTAGAATCAACTAACAGAAAATGAACAATGGTTTCTGTATAATCTCCTTGTCTATAAAAGTTTTTGCTTATACTATCATACATAATAAAATCCATTAAGATACAACCTGTTTAGACCAATGGAGACAGAACAAAAGCTTGATGAGACTTCAAAACAAGATGATACTAAATCAGTATTACCTATTAAGACGTCATTTTCTCCAAAATAGCTGTTCCTATCATCCAATCTTCTCTGCCTCATTTCTGTTGAGCTCTTTTTCTGTCATTAGTTGACAGTTTGTCTTCTTCATTTTGTTCTCTGCTCCATTCATTGTGGCCTCCCCACCACTATTTCTGGATTCTTTGTATTTTTCTTTTTTAGAATATCCTGCAGTATTCTCTGTAGAGTTGAATTGGTGGTTGCATATTCCCCTAGTTCCTCTTTATCCTGGAAGCACCTTGTTTTTCCATCAATTTCCAGGGATAGTTGTGCAGGATATATCAATCTTGGCTAGAGATTATTATCTTTCAAAGCTTGAATTATTTCCCCCCATGCTCTTCGTGATTTGATGGTTTGTGCCGAGAAATCTACTGTAATTCTGATGGGTGTTCCCTTGTAAGTGATCTGTTTCTTGTCTCTGACGGCTTTTAATATTCTGTTCTTGTATTGGATTTCTGGAATTTTAATTATTATATGCCTGGGTGTTGCTCTGTTTGGGCTGTAGGTGGCTGGGGTCCTGTATGCTTCATACAACTGAGTATCTTTACCTTTTGCTAAATTAGGAAAATTCTCCTGGATTATTTCTGTGAGTAGCTTTTGTAGTTCCTTTGTTTGTGTCCCTACTTCTTTTATGTTCTTAATTCTTAAGTTATAGATCCTCTTATCATCTTCTAGTCTTTGTATTATTGCTGTTTGTTTCTTTGTTATTTTTAAGAAGTTTTTCATTTCATTCTCCCGTATTACAAATCTGCCCTCCAGTTTAGATAATCTGTCCTTAGTTTCTTCTAAGCTGTTATGCCAGTTTTCGATAGAGTTTTTAGTTTCCTGGTAATCTCTTTGAAACTGCTTCACGTATTCTATGCTTTCTCTATTTTCTCCATTAAACAATTCTCCCCTCTTTTTCTGTTCTTCCATTCTACCATCTGTTTTTTCTTGGGTGGTGCTTAGCATTTCTCTAACTACTCTGCTTATGTCTAGCTTCAGGTCATTAATAACTTCATTCCTGAACTTGTCTATGAGGCTCTGGAGATAGCGCTTTATATCTATTGGTGCTGTGTCTGCTATTGCCTCTTTCTCAGGATTGGGGGCCGAGGACCCTTTCTTGTTGCTGCCTCTTCCCATATTCTTTGTTCCTTTTATATGCAAGCGTATTTAGGAGGCCCAGCTTCCTTCCCTGTCGGCCACAGTCTGATTGAATTGTGCTGGCTAGGTGTTCCCGCCCACCACAGCGCACCTGGAAGTTGCAGACCAGGCAGCCTATGCGGGGCCCGCACCTCCAGGTCAATCTACCTTCAAGTGCTGGGACCTGGGCTGTGCTAGCCTACTGGGTCTCAGCCAGAAGCGTCACATAGGCTAGGCACTGCTCACCAATCCCGCTTGAGAGGGGGATACGTGACTGAAGTCACTGCAGCGCCCTGTTTCTGCAAGTCTGCCCAGTCCCAGAATGTCCTCTGTTGGAGCCTCCTAGACCATGGAAGAGTCCCAGTTTCTCTCACTCACCGCAGGTCAATGCACAGCTCCCTGCCCGACCTGCTTTCAACTCCATTCACCGATTCCCATTCTCAGAGCTTTCATTCCTCTCTCTCCCTGCTGAGCGGATATAGACACAGCAGCGCTGGTGGCAGGAAACCCAAATCGCGGCTTCCAATGACACGGGCTCCAGCTTCCACACTGAGGCTTTTCTGTTCCTGTTATAGCACCAGGGTTGCATTCCCAGTTGGTTTCTCTCAGCCCAGTTCGTTCTTAGATCAGCAGGGCATATCTCCACTTGCTTATGATTTCTTACTCCACACCATTCCTGAATTCTAAGCTGAGTCTTTCAGAGAGCCTCCGTAGCTGCTGCTATCTGTCTGCCATGTTCTCCCGGACGTCTTGTTAACATAATTTGTTACTAGTGATTTCTTACTGTTTATTTTTTAAAATTAGGTATTATTTTTACCCTTTTTCTGTTTTGCTTTTTTCCTCTTTAAATAAAAATTTTTTTAAAAAGTATATAAAAGTAAAGTGACGGCCGAAATGAAAAAAAAAACAAACCATAATTTGTTACTTAGAAAAGTCCTTGAACTACACCCAACGTCTGTTCAATTTCCTGCGGTTTTCCATCTAAACCCCTAAATACAAATGGGCGATCCAGAGACATCCCCCATCTTACCCATTACAGTCTCTGAACTCTGCAGAGGGTTTTGATCCTTCTGAAGCCCTACAATCATTCCACTTATCTCATTTATTTTAAGCCTTTGAGGTACACTTGTTTGGGAGATTGGGGATCTAGGCTAGGTCCCGGATAGGTAACTTATTTTCAATGAAAAAAATTACACACACACACACACACACACACACACACACGATAAAATAAGTAACAACGTAGGATCTCCAAAACAACAATAACACCTAAAATAATACCAGTAGCATCTTGATATAGAAGCTACACAGCCACATGGAATGAATCTCAGGCTTCACCACTTTGTAGTTGCAATGATGCATGTAAAACACTTAACACTGACTAAGCATGCAAAAATTTCTAAAATGATTCTTGAACTATATTGAAGATTAAACATCATCCAATTCAAACTTATCCCCACGAATATTGAACATTTTTCTACAAATATAGCAACTGCTATTGACTAGCTGAAAACAGATAAGTGAAAGCCAATTTAAATCTTGATGCCTTATTTCTATCATTTGAACTGTTTATTTTCAAACATGATTTGAAATATACTGGTTTTGTTTGCTGGAAGTGTCTAAAAGAGTTTGTAAGTTAACCAACCTTAATAATTTAATGTATAGCAGATAGATCATTACTCTTGATTTATTCTTTAAATACTTAAGCCCTCCAAAATAAACTTCTTTGTGCTACAAATATTTTAATCTTGAAAAATATAGAACCAAAGTAAGTTCTATATTCTCTTTTATTAGTCATAGTACTTCTTAAGACAGATGCATCAGTATTTTATGAATTATAGGATGATAGGTATCTGATTAGCTTTGTTGTTGTTTGAAAATTTTAGATTGACATTTCTTGGGTTTTTTGACATTAAGATGTAATTTAATGTATAGCTATAGCAATTTGACGTTACTTAATCTGATTTTTTAAGATTCTAATTTCAATTATTACTCAGTAATATTGAAAGATAAAATGCTAAATCGTGGAACGCCTCAGACAGCCATGGTGGCCTGCACCAGTCATCCTAGCACTTTGGGAGGCTGAGGCAGGAGAACTGCTTTGAGTGTGAGGCCAATCAGGGCTCCACAGTGAGTTTCAAACAAACAATCAAGCAAGAATCAAAAACTAAAAAGTAAAATGTGGAACATTTGAAGATCTTAAACAAAGTTTTAAAAATATGAATTAGAGGAAAAATTTAATATAAGTGCTTTTTTTGTGGGGATTGTAGCATTGAGAATTGAACACAGGGCCTTTGCACTGAGAGCAACATCACAAAACAGCCTGGTTTTCAATTGTTTTTTGCCTTCGTTTTCTTTATGAGATAGGGTTTTCTAAACTGCTAAACTGTTTGGGCTGGGCTCAAAATGCTGCTTGCATCAGTTGCCCAGAGTACTTGGGTCATTGACATGTGCAACTGTGCCCAGGTGAAGAAAATGGGTCTTATTCTAATTCCTTTTCATTTATTTTGGCTTAAAGTGCACTACTTTTTTTTAAAATAATCTTTCAGTTTTTTTATTGTCAATCAAGTTTTGTGATTCTAAAACTAACAAACATCTTTAAATTCTGGTTTTATCTAGTTTTACCTTAATTGTATTGCTAAAAGAATCATTAAATGCCATTTAACCATTCTATTTATTCAATAGTTCAAGTGAAATTCCATGCAGTAGTTACCATTACTACATAGAAGATACCTGTCAATTGGAAAGTACGGAGTTAAGATGATCAGTGCCAAAATTCCGTATATGTTACAAGAATTAAATTCTTGCTCACAAAAGTATTGATAAAAAAATATATGTAGGTATACACATATAACTGTAAATATGTATATGTGCACCAGATAACTATACTAATTCTGTTAGTTCACCAAAAAGAAGTTTGTGCTGTCACTGATTGATCAGTTTTATGCCTAGATCTTGTAATCTGAACAACTATTTCTAAGATAATAATATGCAATATATTAACTAGTGTCAATTTCTTTCTGTTTTTGTTTTGAAATTCTGTATTTTTCTGAAATTCTGTACTGTTTTCTGTTTTGCTTTTTTAAAATAAAAACCAATGTTTCTGAAATGGACTGTAATCTACAGAAAATAATTACAAGATACCCAACTCGATGCTACCCAACATTCAAGAGGCAAAGGACTGAGGATACAAATACTTAGAAAAAGAAAGAACATACTATTTGTGTTATTCTCTACCCACTTATTGATGGAGTTTGCCACAGCCACATTTTGACTGAAATCCACATGATTTACTTCTGCATTAAAGTATTTTTTCATCATTTTCAAAAACTCATCACCGACATGAAATCCATTTTGTACAAAAAGGGAATTGGCAATTTTCATCACATATTGGTTCTCTTCAGCAGTTACCATATTAGAAAAATCCTTCAAGAAAGTAAATTCTTCACCTGCAAGATGACAAAGAACATGTTTATTAGTGGAACAACCATGGTAAAAGGTCAAGAAGAGTAAATGAACACTAAAACTTAGTAAAGGACATAAAGAGAACATGGCCCCAGGAATAAAAGATCAGAATTTATTGCTTACTTGCTATGGCAAGGTTGTCCCAGTGCTTGTGTTATTTCTCAACGTTTAAATAAACCCATGTGCTTTATACTTTTAACTACATCAATAATAGTATTTGTCATTTCATTTTTACTTTTGCTAGAATCTACCAAGCAGAAATTTTGTCTGTGGTTTTCTTCCAAAGCACTGAGATTGCTTTCTTTAAATTAGCCTTATTTTATAATCATCAGGGAAAATTCCATTTAATTATCTATATAAATTCAAATTTCCTGGGCATGACTGAGCAACCTGTAATTCCAACACTTGGAAACTGAGGCACGAGGATTGCAGTGAGTTCAAGGCCAGCCTGGGCTTGGTTCAGAAAAAAAAAAAGTCAAGATATTTCTTTCTTTAAATTTTACGATCGCTACACTTTTAAAATTTTATAACTAGAAAATTCATTAAAAGTTGTCACAGTTCTTAATATTCTTATGAGTTCTTAATATTCTAATGAGGTAATTTATATGCACATTAGAAGCATTAAAATAGAAATTACACATGGTATTAAAATTATTATAAAATATCTTTTGGTTAGAAATTTTCACTGATATATATAATTTTATAATTATATAACACTTCAAAAAATTCTTGTATGCTATTTAATAAATGAGGACACAGTTGATTTAAGTGAAAAATGTCTTACAGTCTTAACAAACCATGTTCCTTGTTTTATACAAATCATCACAGTTGTAATTTCTCATGCATTTATTCAAAAATTGAATAATATAAGATTCTCCCTAGACTGGGCACACCAGAATCATTTATTTTTATCAAAATGAAATTTATTTAAATAGTAATTCTTTTGAAATGTAATTATTTAGACTCAGCCATAGACAGAGGCAGGAATTAACACCATTCTTCTTATTTCCTAACCCTTCCAGGCATACCATGTCAAAATCATAATTTCTTTTTTTTAAAATTTTATGTAAAGAGGAAAAAAAAAGACAAAACAGAAAAAGTGTAGAAATAATACAGAATCTCAAAAAAAAAAAAAACAGAAAGAAATCACTAGTTGATAAATTACATATTATCCTCTTAGAAACAGTTGTTCAAGTTACAAAAGTAAAGCATACAAAGTGGACATTCAAACAGCAAGACTGCAAACAGTTCTGTTCAATGATTCAGCAAAAACTTATTAATATGGTTATCAATCCTACACACTTAAACATACAGGCAGTTATATTCTTTAGAACACTTTCTTTTCCTCTCTTTTGTACAACAGCAATTACACATTTTGGATTTTATTACTCCTACATTTCTTACTACTTTTTATACTAAAGACACAATGTGATACTTATAAATATGATTCTTATTTATTTCACTAATGAGGATAGTCTCATGTTGTCTCCATTTACCTATGAAGGCCTCAAGATCATCCTTTTTATAGCTGAGTAATATTCCATTGTATAAAAATACCACATATTTTTCATCCACTCTGCAGCTGATGGGCGTCTTGGCTGTTTCCAAGATTTGGCTATTACATATAGTGCTGTTATGTACATGGGTGCACATATTTCACTGTGATATGACCTTTTTGGTTTTTCTGGGAAACAGGAGGGGAACAGCTGGATTGAATGAACTTCTAATCCTAGTCTTCTGAGAATTCTCCATACTGAAAAATTGGGATTTTGTGTTTGTTTTCAGTACCAGAAATCAAACTCAGGAACTTCCACTTGCCAGGTAGGCACTTGTGCCACTGAGCTATATATCCCCTAAAATGATAATTTCTTACCCTGTAAAAATATTACTGCCTCACTATGGTGACTACTATTATGTTATCTAGTGGTGAAACACAATGATGCTTAAATTGTTCAGTTCTGACCTGTGTTGTTCTGTTACAATGTCCTCTTTTATCTCAATCTCCCCCCCTTTTTTTAAATTAATCTATTTTTTTCTTATTTTTTTAATTAAGGGAAAACTAAATTAAAAAATAGCGGGATATATTATAGTAACTTTTTTGTTTGCCTATTAACCTGATTTGAACCCCAGTATTGCTCTCCCCATCTTGTTCTGTCTGATTTTACTATATTCTATTTTGTTTGATAGTATCAAGTTTGAGGGTATAGGCAACCACTTTGAAGGCAATAAGATTTACTATGATGCTCATTATGCTTTGACTATTATCTTCTTTTGAAGTCCTGTAAGGTCTCCAGTGTAGGTTTTATTGGTCTTGTTCTGTACTGTTTTGGTCAATTCTATTATACCTGATGATATAGGCAACTCTTTTTAAAATAGCAAGAGGCACAATGGTAACCATTTTGATCAGCTGGTATTCTACTTTTGCATCATGTACTGTGCCCATCCTTCTGTTCTAACTGACTCTGTTTTGTTTAGTCACGATTGGTTTTATTCTCTTCAAAAGAAAGTAATATGAACTGTGGGAGTAATAAAACCCAAAAAGTGTAATTGTTATCGTAAAAAAGAGAGGAAAAGAAAGTGGTTTAAAGGATATAACTGCATGTATATTTAAGTGTGTAGGATAGAAAACCATTATTACTGAGCTTTTGTTGGATCATTGAACAGAACTGTCTGCAATCTCACTGTATGAATGTCCACTTTGTATGCTTTAATTTTATAATTTGGACAACTGTTTCTAAGATGACAATATGTAACCTATTAACTAGTGATTTCTTAATGTATATTTTTTTTCTTGAAATTCTGTATTACTTGTACCCTTTTCTGCTTTGTTTTTTTCTTTTCTTTTTTGTCTTTAAATAAAAAAATATATTACTGCCTCTAACATATGACAAAATAACTTAATTCAAATTTAAAGTCAAATCACCTGCAGAAATCAAACCGGAGTTTCTCACTTACCATTTTTCAAGTTGTCATATCCCATTGAAAGGCGGATTTCTTTCAGAGTAGACCCTTGAGCCCCAAGTTCCATTATACCAATTGCAAGGGCAATGCTCAGTGGAGAGAAGAGAATATTTTCATCTTCTCCTGTGGCTCGAAGATGGTTGTACATATTCACTGACACCTCGGCAATGGTTTCATCAGGGAAATTGGCCCCTAACACCACACTTGGCAGAATCAGCAAAGAGAACAGTCCGAGAAAAGCCATAGTGGAATAGTTTCAAGCTTAGGAAACAATAATTTACATATTAATTTTCTCAGAGAAATAGGAAAAATATAAGGAATTATTTCTTAGTAAAATGAATCAGACCTTTTAAAACACAACAATATTAATATTGCTATAGGAAAACCCCTTAAAGTGTGCATGTTGGAAAGCCCTTGTGTGTGCACACGTGCTAGGAATTCCAAGACCTTACATAGGCTAAGCCTGTGTACTTCCTCTGATCTAAATCTCCAACCCCAAAGTCCTAATTTTAAAGTCATTCAATTGCCACATAAACAAATAATATTACCTAAATTCTGAAAATTGTCTCAATAAGGAATAAGATGGTTATGATTTTAACCTTCATTCAGTTTTTCTAATAGTGGGCATTATTATGAGGAAAAAACAGAAAGTATGTATACATACTTAGGCCAACCTAAATAAAATGTTATAATACAAAAGTAAGTATTTTTATCACTCCTGTTGACCATCGAATATAGTACCATTATCTATTCACTTAGCTGAGGTAATACAGTACCATTAAAACATAAAATATATTTAAGTCTCTTGTCCTAGAAGAACTCGTATCATTGTACAAAAGTATATAATCTATTACAATAGTATATATCTGTTTAAGAAAATAAATCAAAACTTGAGAGGCCAAGGCAGGAGGGTCACTGCAAATTCAAGGCCAGCGTGGTCTATATAGTGAGTTCAAGGCCAGCCTGAACTGCATAGTGAGAGCCTGTCTTCAAAAGACAAAACAAAACAAAACACTCATAAAAATCAAGAAAAAATTTAAAAACTAGAAATAGAGTAAATCAATCTTCAGAAAAAGTGAGTACCCACAGATAACAGCACAGCACCTTGAGCCAGGGGTTCACTTACCTCAAATTGGGCACAATAGCTTTATGGCAGCTGGTCCAGACGCAGAAAGGCAGTGTTTCATGAACTTGCAATTCCACAGGACTTCTTTCTGGTGAAGATAACAGAGATAACAAAACCATTAACACAACTTTGGGGTTCTTGAGAACTTCTGAAAAGCATCGGTTGTGTTTGTGGGGAGAGGCCTCTTCCAGGGTGGTGAGCAGAGTGGCTGGTTGCTGATTACACGTCCTGCTAGGAAATTAGGAGCCTGAGGTTATGAATGATAGCATAAGTCATTCGAGGATTGTTGCATTGTTGGCACAGTGAATCCCTGGGCATGTAATGCATTAACAACAATACAACACCTTGAGCAATCAAAAAGCATTGGCATCTAAATAATACTGTCTTAATATTTGTCTACAAAATGCCAAGGCCTCATCATTAGTCATAATAATCAATATATTCCAAAAAGGATTACTCTTACATGGAGCATTAAAGATTTATTATTATTATCAGTCAACTGAAGATAATATCTTTAGATAAAGAAATGAGAGGGTCAAGTAACAGAGGAGTATTATACAATGCTGCCACGGTAGAAAAGGTAAAAGTAGTTGAGTTATGAATAAACTATTAATTCTTGAATATTTTTCCCTTGCTATCTGTGTTAAGGAGGTTGTATGCATGTGCAGATGTATATACTACTTAAGAAATCATTTCATAAAACCAGGTCAGGGAACTAAATCTTGTAAATGAGTTATGAGAAGTTACAAGGCTAAAAGCAAGTGTTATTTAAAACCAGATTTTTAAAAAGTTTTCTGATAATTTATGCTACTTATAAAAACAAATATTCATAAATATATCCTAGAGTTTTCATAGCCAAATTATTTAAAAATTTAAAATGATTTTATAATTGTGACTTGAGAAAAAAAAAGGGAGTCTTCTTTAGCTACAGAGAAAAATGCCTTATGGATGTTTTTCTCCTAAAAATAAAAACCAACAGTATAGGAAATAACAGAGAAGCACCTAACACAAAGAACATTGTGCTAGAATTCCTTTAGCCTGTTAATTCACAGACTTTGACATGCAAAGGACTTTTAGTTTTTTAACTGAATGAACCGACACAGGGTTGCTAAAATTTTTTAACCCAGCAAATAGGTTGGAAGGCAGAGAAAAACCATCAAAACAACACCACTTACAACCACATGAAAGAATGAATACCTCAAAGTGAAAATATAATAATCTGCTACAATGGATATATCTGAATTCATGAAATTGGACTACCTTTTATCATTTTGCCATAAATTGGTGAAAACTTTTTTATCATAAGTGTTTAGAAGACTGGTTGGAATTCACTGTTTTAACTTCGGTTATTACTTTGGTGTTGCTACATTTTCTGTAAAAGTTCAAATCTCTAGGCCTTTTTTCCTGCTTTTCTATGAGATAGGCTAAAGTTAGATACACAGAAATGAAGCTGGAAAATCTTTTAAAAAGAAAAAAAAATCTCCATCTCATGAAAAAAAAATACTTTTGCAATCTGTAATTTAGCAAATTTCCTTTTTTGTCACATGCATTCTGAAGGTTGGACAATCTAATAATCAATCTCCAAAGAAACCAGTTTGCCCTTAGAGAGGAAAGGTGTGACACAGTTGTCATTTCCTGGGCAGCTCTCACAGTCCATGCAAGTATACTCTAGGTTACTTGTTAACCTTTGTTCCCTCCATTGACTTGTTTCTGTTGGTGCTGCCTGTCACCGCTGCATTTTCCTCATAACTGGAGTTGGACTTGACCTCGATAGAACATTTGTATGCAGAAGAGAGAAGAGACAGTAAGTAATGCCAATATTCTCTCAGAAAATGAACCTACCGATTTTTCTGTTTAAAAAAAAATGCTTTACAAAGGATCCAAGAATATATGTGCAAGTGGTGAAGTCTTTTCTCAACGAAATGTACCCAAATGTCTGTTGGACACCAAGCAATACAAAAGTTAAAAGTTAAAAGCAGAAGAACTTGCCAAATCTCTCAGAATAAATCACAGGGCTTGGAAAACTAGAAAAAGTGAATGACCCATGTATGCAATGCCACGGATTACCGCTCAGGTGTTGTCAAATGCTTTCTAGTAGCTTTTAAAATTACCTATTTAACATTAGGCATATAATGAAGATGCAGAAATGAAGTAGAAATGTAATGTTAGGCATATAATGAAGTAGAAATAGAAACGTAGTGGAAGGGAATCAATGGGAGAGCTGAACATCCAAATAACTGAGTGAAAATGCAGAGAATATCCCAATATTCCTTAAGTGCCTTAAGATTTCCTGAATCGACTTCCGGGAGAACATGGCGGACAGATAACAGCAACTACCGGAGGCTCTCTGAAAGACTCGGCTCAGAAGCCAGGAATGGTGCGGACTAAGGAGACATAAGCAGGTGGAGATATGCTCTGCTGACTCAGGAACGAACTGGGCTGAGAGAAACCAACTTGGAATGCAGTCCTGGTGCTAAAACAGGAACAGAAAAGCCTCGGTGTGGAGCTGGACCCCGCGCCACTGTAAGCCGCGATTTGGGTTTCCCGCCGCGCGGCGGCTGGCTGCCTTTACAGTGGCTCAGCAAGGAGAGAGACACGCAGAAGCTCTGAGAACAGCAATCTGCGAACGGCAGGGAGGCGTGCACTGACTTGTGGTGAGGTGAGTGAGAGAAACTGACACTCTACCACAGTTTGACTCCAGAGGAGGACTTTCTGGGCCCGAGCAGTCCTGCGGGAGCAGGGCGTGGTGGCGACTCCAGCCACACATCCCCCTCTTGGGCGGGATTGGTGAAAAGTGCCTGGCCTGCGTGACGCTGCCGGCGGACCTGGTAGGCTGTCCCAACCCAGATCCCAGAGCCTGACGGTGGCCCAGAGGGGCGACTCCCACGTAGGCTGCCTGGTCCGTAACTCCCTGGTGCGCAGCGGTGAGCGGGAACACCTAACTGGCGCAATTCGATCAGGCTGTGGCTGACTGGGAGAGAAGCTGGGCCTCTTATATAAGCTTGCATATATAAGGAACAGAGAAGAAGAGGCAGCATGGGAAGAGGCAGCAACAAGAAAGGCTCCTCGGCCCCCAATTCTGAGAAACAGGCAATAGCAGACACCGCACCAATATACATAAGGCACCATATAGAGAGCCTCATAGACCAATTCAGGAATGAAGTTATCAATGACCTGAAGCTAGAAGTATGCAGAATAGTTAGAGAAATGCTAAGTACCACCCAAGAAAAAACAGGCGGTGGAATGGAAGAACAGAAAAAAAGGGGAGAATTGTTTGATGGAGAAAACAGAGAAACCATAGAATATGTGAAGCAGGTTCAAAGGGACTACCAAGATACCAAGAAGTCTATAGAAGACTGGCATAACAGCTTGAAAGAAACTAAGGACAGACTATCTGAACTGGAGGGCAGACTTGTAATATGGGAGAATGAAATGAAAAACTTCTTAAAAATAACAAAGAAACAAACAGCAATAATACAAAGACAAGAAGATGATAAGAGGATCCATAACTTAAGGATTAAGAACATAAAAGAAGAAGTAGGAACACAAACAAGTGAACTACAAAAGCTACTCACAGAAATAATCCAGGAGAATTTTCCTAATTTAGCAAAAGGTAAAGATACTCAGATGTATGAGGCATACAGGACCCCAGCTACCTACAACCCAAACAGACCAACACCCAGGCATATAATAATAAAAATTCCAGAAATTCAATACAAGAACAGAATATTAAAAGCTGTCAGAGACAAGAAACAGACCACTTACAAGGGAACACCCATCAGAATTACAGCAGATTTCTCTTCACAAACCATCAAATCACGAAGAGCGTGGGGGGAAATAATTCAAGCTTTGAAAGATAATAATCTCCAGCCAAGATTGAGATATCCTGCACAACTGTCCCTGGAAATTGATGGAAAAACAAGGTGCTTCCAGGATAAAGAGGAACTGGGGGAATTTGCAGCCACCAATTCAACTCTACAGAGAGTATTGCAGGATATTCTAAAAAAAGAAAAATACAAAGAATCCAGAAATAATGGCAGAGAGGCCACAACGAATGGAGCAGAGAACAAAATGAAGAAGACAAACTGACAGCTACTGACAGAAAAAGAGCTCAACAGAAATGAGGCAGAGAAGATTGGATGATAGGAATAGCTATTTTGGAGAAAATGACATCTTAATAGGTAATACTGATTTAGTATCATCTTGTTTTGAAGTCTCATCTAGCTTTTGTCCTTCTGTCTCCAATGGTCTAAATAGGTTGTATCTTACTGGATTTTATTATGTACGATAGTATAAGCAAAAACCTTGTAAAGACAAGGAGATTATACAGAAACCATTATTCATTTTCTGTTAGTCAATTCTAAATACTCTGTAATGCTGTCATTCTCTTGAATGGTTTTACATCATTTTGATATACTTAATGCTACAGTATACGAAGTTGTACTCAAGGATTTCAAAGAAAGACAATATAGTAACTACTTTTAGGTTAGAATTATCTGGTGGTGAAACACTATTCTGCTTAAATGGTTATGTTTTGATCTGCGCTGTTTCGTTGTTATGCCCTCTTTTATCTCAATCTCTACTCCATTATTTACTTTTTTATCTTTATCCTTTTAATTAAAGGAAAAAAATAGCAGGATATATTATAGTAACCCACTTTGACTTTTCATTACTTTGATTTAAAGCCCTGTATTACTCTCACCATCTGGTTTTTAACTGATGTTCCCCTATTCTGTTTTGCTGGATAGTATCAGGTTCGAAAGTTTAGGCATCAGCTGTGAAGATAATGAGATTCATTATGACGCCCATTCTTGTTGACTTTTATCTACTTTTGAAGACCTACAATGTCTCCAATGTTTTGGTTTTGTTGGTTTTATTCTTTACTGTTTTGTTCAATTGTATTATAACTAACGATATAGGCAATTCTATTAGAGATAGCGGGAGGCATTATAGTAACCATTGTTGATCACCTTGTATTATGTTTTTACATTATCTATTATGTCCACCCTTTTGACTTGACCGATTCTGTTCTGTTATGTCGCATTTGGTTTTACTCTCTTCCAAAAAAGTAATAAGAACCGTGGGAGC